GACCGCGGCCGCAATTTTCCCTAAGGAAAATACACACAAAGTTATATGGGAATCACGCTAGTGGACACACTAGCACAGAAAGCCCTGAAACAAGGATATTACTGGCCAAACATGAGACAAGATAGTATAAGTTTTGCCAGGAAATTCTTAAAGTGTCAAAATGTTGCATCAATACCACGAAAACCTATGCGAGAACTGATTACCCTTGGCCTTTTGTTGGAATTTTGCCTAGTGAAAGGTCTAATATGAGATTCATAATAATTAAGTATATTATTTCACTAAATGGGTAGAAGCAGAGCCCCTCAAGAGCATCACCAAGGCTTATACTTGTAAGTTTATATGGAAAAATATTATATGTCGATTTGAAATGCCAAAATCTATAGTATAAGATAATGATACACAGTTCCAAGGAAAAAAGTTGAGTCATGTATGACGAATTGGGAATTCGTAGACACTTGTTCACTCCATAATACCCCTAAGCTAATGGACAGGTAGAAGCAGTAAACAAAATATTGAAAAGCATTTTGAAAAGAAAGCTCCACGAGGCAGAAGGATTATGGACTAATGAGTTACCACTATTTTCATGGTCAAATCGCTCCACCGCCAAAACTGCCATGGGGGAAAATCCTTTCTACTTGTCCCATGGGATGGAGACCATAGTTCCAATTGAAATTGGCCTAAGTTTGGCAAGGAAAATAGGTTACAACAGAGAACGGAATGAAGACGTTATCAACATGAGCTTAGATATTATGGAAGAAAAATGAAATGATTACCAAATGAAGCTCGCTATATATCAAAGGAAAATGGAAAGAAGGTTCAATTCTAAGGTTTGGAGAAAAAGGTAGGAGATTTGATTTTAAAGAAAACTTTTGCCACGGACAAAGAAACAAATTCAAATTCATTAGGCTTGAAAATGGAAAAGACCATACATAGTAGTTGAAGTATATTGGTCAAGAACATAGAAGCTCACGGATGAATATGGCAAACTCCTTAAACATTCCTGGAATGGAATGTACTAACAATGAAAAGTAAATCCAAGAAAATTAAACTCTTAAGCTAATCGTTAAGTAAAAAGCTCAACTAGTTATAATATCGCGAAGTCCTTAGTCAATTCAAGCATAAGATAAAAATCTATCATAAACAAAAATTGGAATTTTTTTATGGATGTAAAGAAAGGTTACAAAATCGAACAAATACGTTCATATGAAAACTAATCGTACACTAGGTAATACATTTCACGGTTATTTCTAACTATTGGGGTCACTTGAATCGCGATGGACAAATTGAAAGCGTTTTGGTGGAATCAAATTTGGTAAAATGAAATGTGATTATCTGATAGCTCATGGTGCAGCAGTCAATCAGGTTCAACACCTCTACATCTTGGGTAATTTCTCCTAGATGCTTATATGGGGAAAATGAAAAAAATGGCAAATTTGCCATCTTCTAAATTATTTCCACCGGCTTCTGAATCATAGTTATTTAATAATAACATGGCAAATGGAAGTTATGTTAATCTCAAAGTTTTGTTCAATCGTATGATCTCTAGTTAAGAGAATTCAGGATTACATATCAAGAAAGTACAATGAAATCAAAAGAGACTAATCTCTTTCGTTGATGTGTGTGAATGATGAACAGAATAAAAGACAAAATGTGTCTGAATGTTGTGATTTTTTGTTGTTGAATGCTGAACAGAATATATAATCATGCTGAACTCATTTGGTTATGACTTCATTCTCTAGCTAAGTTTTTTGTTCGATTTTTGTTCAATAATTTTATTTGCTATGTTTTATTGATGAACAGTGGACTTCAAGCAATAAACCGGTGCCATTTCAGAATTACGATTTTACACACAACATTTCAGATTCAAAAACTTGATTTTATTTCATTTGTTTGATTAATTTTCATACTTGTTGCCATTTCAGAGTTTGGTTATATATTACTATTTAATTTGTTTTATCTCTCTCTCTCTCTCTCTCTCTCTTTGTCTCTCTCCCTCTTTTTTTTTTTTTTTTGTGGAAATGACCTGACCATTTTACCCTTCTCATTTTAAAATAAAATTGACCCCATGTGTGTATTTAATGGTAAAACTAACAGCTGATGGATAGAATGGCGTTTTTCATAATGAAACTTGGAAATATGGATGAAAATGCAAAGATTTAGACATAGGGACATTTTGCACACAAAAGACTAAACATAGAGACATTTTGTGCCAATAAGCCCTTTTTAAAATTAAGATCATGGTAGGTTTCATTTTATATTTGAGGATTTTTATTTTCGAATACGATAACCATGTTTATAATATTTGTTGTAGAAAAATTTCATACATGAATAGGATATTTAGCTCTTGTTTGGCTTCCATTATAATGAGAATTTGGAAAAAAAAAATGTATTTTGGAATGTAATTTTTTGGAGAATGTATGGTTAAGAAAGAATAAAAAGTTTTGGGTTTACTTGTAATATTATTTTATTAAAAAATGTGTGATTGATAAGAAAAAAAAATTATAATTTTAATGGACGCGAAGGCTTTGCATTTGGATGTACTAATTGGATATGGTGTCAAGGGCCACAATTTTACTTAGCCCCTTGATCCAATAGCAGTCGCAATTTACCCAACTTCGACCGCACATTGTAAATATTTTATTTCAATTGTAAAATAGTTGTGATATTGGAAAACGTTTAGTATGATCCATTGACATTTAAATGTCTACTCATATCACTTAGGTTTTTANATAGTTTATTTCAGTTGTAAAATAACTCTAATATTGGTAAACGTTTTGTATGATTCCTTATCATTTAAATGTATACTCCTATCACTTAGGTTTTTGTTCCGCAAACTATTATAGGGGGTATTAATCATTCAAAAATCTTTCAAACTTACTGGTGTTCGTCCCCTGCACCAACAATTATAATTTTCTGCTTTCATCAATTGTAATTTTCGCTTTTATCAATCAATGACCAATTTACTTTAAATGCAAGCTTTCTACAAATTGTAATCAAATTTTCTTTCTTCCCGAAACGATCGAGAAAAGACGGAAGACAGTCTAACGGAGCATACTACTCTACAAGGTGTCCCTTTTTGTGCCAAAAAGTAAGGCGCCCCGTGAAAGTTGGTATCGCGAAGTCCTTAATCAATTCATGTCCCAATCAAAACTATCAAGCAAACGAGCTCGTTGGCAGGAACTTCTTTCAAAGTTCAATTTTATGCTAGAGTATCGTCCTGAGTCTAGTAATCATGTTGTCGATACTCTTAGTTGGTGGGCCGACTTGGCCACCATTTGCTCTATGGCTGCTCTTTCAGAGAGTACGGTGACCACAAATACAAGGGACCAAATTCGTGCACTTTTGGATAAAGACCCGACTACTCAATATTTGATCGATCTCAAGCAGGGCAAAAATTGTCAGTTCTGGCTCCAACGGACCTAGTGAAGACTAAAGGAGACTGCCTATATGTTCCTCAAGGTGGAGATGTGAGGAAATCACTAATTACGGAATGCCACGACACAATTTGGGCAGGCATCCTGGAAAGGAACACACTTTTACACTACTACAACGTACGTAGTATTGGCTTCAAATGCGGGATGACATTGCAACTTATGCGAAAACTTATCTTATTAGTCAGCAAGATAAGACATATGTATCAAGAGTGTATCGATGGACTACATTATTGGATTGCCAAAAGTTGAAGATTTTAGCACTATCATCGTCGTAATAGACCATCTATCAAAGTACGCAACTTTCATCACAGAGCCTAAGTATGTATCAACTGAAAAGAGCACTACAACAAAAACAGGCTACGGCAACGTTCAAAAACGTTGTTGTAGATCTTTTGCAACGTTTGGACGTGTGTTGCAAATCGAGGTGTTGCTGTAGAGTAGAAAGATACGGCAACGTTTTTTAAACGTTGCCAAAGACTAAAAAACGTTGCCAAAAACTTATCGTTGAAATTTTGTCCATGCATATTGAATCGAACAAGAAATTCAAAGAGTATTATTGCACTATAAATAAGAACTAAATAAACAAGTTTACAAGGAGGAAAGCATTGCCACACACCATTAGAGCTTCAACTAAACCTTCTGAGATGGCGCATCATTGAAACCACCACCCGAAAAGGGTATTGCTGAAAGCCACTGAAAGAATATGTCAATGTCCATAGTCCAACCACTCCGTCGAACTACGCAAGCTGCATGAAAAATCATTTTCAGAAGGAAAGCAAAAAAGGAAAACTACAAAATGTGGGTATAAGCAAAATTAC